ACTCAAGCCCTGGCTCCTGAGCAAGTTCATATTCACTGCTTTTCATTTTCTGTGACCATCAAAGAACAATTATGATGAATTTTAACATTCCCAAGGCCCTCCTCCTTGATTGGTCTCTCTCAAGAGTGTTTAGCCCCGACTTACAAAAGGCAGCTGGTAAATCTCGGTGTCTCTGAAGACGTGATGAATGAAAAGAAATTAACAGGACTAAGTATTTGCAATACCCAGATGCTGAAATTATAAACTCCTGAGCTTTAATTCACTTTTCTTGGCAAATTCTCTCCCATTCAACTCCTGTGTCCTGTGGGTTCTGGCACCAAGCCCAGCAGCTGGGCTCCTTGGAGCGCTGCATCATCTAATAGCAAACACTCGTGGATGACCCGGGGAGGCTCAAAGGCCACCTTAGATTATCGCGGGGACACGAGGGTGATGAGAACAAACTGCATATCTGTAAGGAGCCTTACCTGGCAATAGATCTTTCCATTTCAAATTCCCTGTAATCATGAACTAAGCACTTGTCAATTATTTTAGCAGGATTCAACTTCTGTTTTCTGACTTATGGAGCAAATGCTAGCAACATAGAAAGGAAAAAAAGGATGGAGGCCATGCTCCCTTCGCAAACCACAGCCTCCCCAGAGTTGACCACTTGTTTGTAGGGGTCTGCTCTGCTGTCCTGTCCTTTGTAGCTTCAAATCTCCTTGCCCAGTCTTTTAATAATAGGTTCTTAATAGACATTGATTGAAGAAGTAAAGTTTAGGGCATATAGAACTCTTTCATTAAAGATAAAACCTAGTCATTCATCTTTAGCTCAACCTGGCTTCTGAAGCGTGCTAGTTTCAAAGTTCTAGGAAAGAAATGGAAGGGGGCAGTGGGAAAAGACAACAGGAAACTGCAATTACTCATATTGTACAAGTTTTGAAATAGTAATTGCCTCTCCCACTTAGATACCCCTTAACCTACTTCATATGCCTACAGAGCTTTGTGAATAGTAATTTTCTACCTAGCAATTGCATGCTTCTTCATTCATTAATTTAATCCCCACTTACCAAATGTCTACCATCTGCTAGCCTAGGTACTTCATATTTATTATTTCATTCAGTTTTCAAAAGCAAGCACAATTTTCTAAATTTCACAGCTAAAAAACTGAGATTCAGAGGTTTTATATAACACTAGAGGCCTGATGCATGAAATTCGTGCAAGAGGGAGCCTTCGCAGCCACGGGCAGCTGCCTGGATCCCTCCCTTGAGGCTGCCTGGATCCAGATCCCTCCCTCATAGCTGCTGTAGTTGCCTCGATTTGGTGGCTGCAGCCCCGGCTTAGTCCGGAAGGACATTCGGTCTAATTAGCATCTTATGATTTTATTATTATAGATGGCGAGGTCACCCAGCTAGCAACAAGCAGACCCTGTTTCATAGTTTCTAGTAGAGCAGCTCATTCAGAGATCCTGGTATACAAAGAATTTAGGGATTACATCATCATTTGCTAGAAGAAACTCAATGGAGAGGCCTTTGTTCATTTTTTAAGATCCTCACAATATGTCACTGGAGTGAGGAAGCTGAGGAATCTGTGAGTTTCTTGTTCACATTCCACATGTATACCTGGCCATACATTCTCACCTCCCCTAATGGAGGGATACTTGCTGCTGGCATTCAGTCCACTAATTTGCATCTGCCATGTGCTGTGAAAGCTAAAAAGATGTGTAATTAGAACCCAGGACTCAAGCTCTATCTACTCTTTTAACCAATTAATGAATCAGAGAATTATCCATATGGGGAGAGAGGAGGGCAGGGTTAAGCATGGCATTAGACATGTTCAAGGTTCCCAAACAGAACATTTGTGAAGGTGTCTCTCAAATCCTGTCTGGGAGCCTGGTAGAATTGGGGTACCCTCTTCCTCTGTTCCTATTCTGTCATGAATAGATTCTAACCAGCCTTTCATGCCCACCACTCGACAATGTCACAGATGACCTCCACAACCAACAATCATTCTCAGGCTTCATTTTATTTGATCTGTCAGCAGCCATTTAAAAGTAAATTAATTAAAGTATTGTAAGTCGCATGGATTGCATGTACCTTGGAAATGACCTATAGTGAGCATCTAGTATTTTTATAAAAGATCATTTTTAAAGTCTTAAAGCAATAAATGAAGATTCTTCTCAAGAATATCACCAAATTCAACAGGGAAAAACAATTTCATATGGATCAGTCTAGCTAACGAGATAGCTGAGCCAAAGCCTGGGAGGGAGAAAAACACTCAAGCAAAGATTAACCTAGAACACTACAGAATAGGGTGCGATGAAGACGGTCAGAAGGGACCAACAACCTATTCTTTGAGTAAGCTGGCTTCCTCTCGTTGGGGATTTCCTGCAAGAAGCATAGGTTCCTATCCGGTAAAGCACTAGAACTGAAGGACAGTCCACTTCAAAGAGATCCATTTCTTTTCCTCCAATAGCAGAATATAGATTTGGCAGAGATCTCTTAATATCAACCCTCTAATATCACTAAAGGGTGACAAATGTGGCACCTGTGCTCCCACTCAGCCTTCCTGTGCCCATGAGTCATAGCTGAAAACATGGCACTCTTTTCCACTGCACCAGACTCGACCGCACAACCCTTCTCAACACAGTGCTCCTAGTAGCTACTACCAATAGGCAGGTGCTGGCCTAGGGGTCAGGGTGGAAGAAAGAGGCGAAAGACAATGTATACCCATGCCACAGAGGAAAAACAAGTCTTTATGCTTATAAAGCAAAATCACATGCACATTAAAGTAGTAGATACTAAATATAAAAGATGACCAATTGATGAATAGGTGAAAGACCAACCATTCCAAGTCAGAAAACGTTGAGGCATCAAATACATTTCTCTTTTTCTTTAGGATGTGACCTCAGAAAAAGCTCTGTGAAAACCAAATCAATCTATTTCAAATAACACACCCAACAAATAATTTCTGTGTATTCAGTCCCAGAATTTCAATTCCTTTGGTGTTATAAGCTCTGGCTTAAAAAAATCATGTTCTCCCCCTTTATCCAAGGATGCTAATAGGGGGAAATCTTCATTCGGTTCTAACCCCAACCAGAAATTTGGCGTAGGGAGAGAAATGCCCACCTGGAAAGCTGACAAAGGCGGTGGACGCAGCTACCCTCTCAAAAATGGAATTCCCAGGAGCCATTGTGCATCAGTCAAGGAATACTTTTAGTCATTTTTAAAGCCCAGCAGAACGTGATGACTGTGCTGAAAAAAATTCTCCTTCCTAACCCTCGGGAGAGATCGTGGAGGGCTCCCCAATGTCAGGCTTGTGGCAAATCGTCTAGGACAGTGATTTTAAAACTCTTTCATCTATTGTAAGCATAAATTAATTACTAAAATTCTGCAGCACACCAAAAAATATATTTTTGCAGGTCTGACAAAAAAAGGTACAGTTTTAATTGATTTACAAAGTAATAACAACAACCACCTATCCTTTTTGGTCCAAAGTGACTTTTTTAAAAATCAGATGCCCATACTTGTATGTAAGGATTTCTGGTACTCAGAATAACCAATCAGATGCAATCTTATTATGACATGACCAATAAGATGCAACTCTTTTATACGACCTATATATTAATGGTTCGAGACAGGGCATTCACACCGGAGCACTACTATTGTGTTGGCTGCTGTCATTTTCTTGACAATCTAAGCAGGGGTTCTCAACCTGTGGGTCACGAACAAAGAAAATACATCCTACATATCAGATATTTACATTACGATTCATAACAGTAGCAAAATTACAGTTATGAAGTAGCAACGAAAATAATTTTATGGTTGGGGGTCACCACAACATGAGGCACTGTATTAAAGGGTCGCAGCATTAGGAAGGTTGAGAATCACCGAGGGAAAAGAGACCAGTGCCCCTGACTAAATATTCAGGTACAAAAATTCCTGCAGCCCATCGGCTGGTCTAGAATCATAGATGCTAATGAAATGAGGCAGCATTGTGAGGTGGTAAGCTCCCTGTCCCAGGCAACATTCGAATGGAGAGACCCGTGATGATGAGTCACAAATGTGTGAATGTGTCATAAATGTGTGATGTGTCATAAATGCCTGGACGTGCCTGAAGTGGGAGGCTGCTGGATTGTTGCTTCCAAATCTAGAACCAAGTCCTCTGGACCAATTCTTAGGCCGTCGCTTCTCATGGGGGATCGACAAAGCCAACGGAGCCAGCAAACACTAAAAAGGCTCAGAGCTTTTGGACAGCCCTCCCTCTCTCTACTTGACTGAAGGTGGAAGAATTACAATGATTAATGTGCATTTATTGTACTGATCTAAAACCAGCAAATTCTGACAATCAGGATTTATTAGAAAGGAAACCAAAAAAAGCAACATATAATTAGCTGACAGTTATTTAGAAGTTAATTATTCAGTCCTTTGTTTCACTTCTTTCTTCTTCCGACTTAATTCCCTTTTACCACGTCTCCATTGATTTGATTCCCCATCCATTAGTGAAATAGAGCAGGTGGGACTGAAGGGCAGCCTGTGGTTGGAAGGTGTCATAAGGGAAGGAAGAGGCGGGTGGGAGGATATTATAATTGCTGGAAAAGTGACTGATTTTTTTGTGTTGGTTAGTAGGGTATAAATGGACGTATGGGCTCTGGAGTCAAACAGACTGGGCTTTGGTTTCTTGCTCTGCCACTTACTAGCTGTGTGTCTTTAATAACTCAGTCGGTCTGACTCAGCTTCCTCGTGGAGAACATGGGGATATTAATATCTGTGTTGGAGGACAGTTGCAAGGACTGAGTAAAATAATCCAAAGAGCCAAATACAGCTCTTCCCACCTGGTAGGCACTCAAGCTGCATTATTAAAATCCACCTAAAAATGTACTCTTCTCATGTAAATAAGACAGGGCTGGAAGCAAATGCTCTTAAACTGAGAAGTAGGCGTTCCCAAGTAAATATACACACTTTAATCTACAAACTGCCTGATTTAAATTTGCATCTTAAAAGTTGCATTAGTTAAAACTTTACCTGCCGACTTCCCTGCTTGGAGGAGCAGGTACTCGGGCTCCTGGAAGGGGAGACCAATTTTGGGGACACCCCAAGGTTCTTCTCGTCACTCATCATGAGCAGCAGGTCACGTGGCCTCGATGCAGTCAAAATGCCATCGGGAGACAGTGGAGCAGAGAGTATGGCAGTCCCAAACGGGCAGGTGGCTCAGCTCTTACACAGTTTGCTCGGAAAGCATTTTGGATGACCCAGAGGAAATCCCTAAAATCAAAAGAAGAGAAAATTAGAGAGCAGGTCAGAGGCCACAGGCATTGTCTATAATTAGCCGCTTGTCGAGTGGCTTATCTGCAGGGCAGAGTACAGAGCCACGAGGCTCTGCTGCACAAGGGCCGTGAAGGAAAAGGTGCTTTACAACTTCCTCTTCCTGGAAATTACGTGTAGGTGGTTTTGTAGCTCTGCAATATGACAGGCTTAGGAACACTGCAGAGTACAAACATCTGAGTCCAGAAACATACAAAATAAGTACTATAAAACCAACCCAAACCACCAGGAGATCGCACTTCATACCCACTAGGGTAGCTATAATAAAATAAAAAAGATAGAAAATAACAAGTTTATTGTTTTGTTAATCCTCACCCGAGGATATTTTTCCACTTAACTTTAGAGAGAGTGGTAGGGAGGGGGAGAGACAGAAAGAGAGAAACATCAATGTGAGAGAGACACATCTTACAAACACATGTTACAATAAGGGATTGGTTGCCTCCCGCACACACCCCAGAGGTACATGTCCTTGACAGGAATCAAACCTGGGACCCTTCAGTCTGCTCTACCCACTGAGACAAACTGGTCAGGGCAGGAAATAACAAATTATAAAGAAAAGTGGAACCTTCAGGTGAGGGATGTTAAATGGGCAGCCAGAGTTCAAAACAGTTTGGCAGTTTGTTAAGAAAGTTAAATATAGAATTATCATATGATCCAACAATTTCACTCCTAGGTATATACCCAAAAGAATTTAAAACAGGTATTCAAACAAAAACTTGTACAAGAATGTTCATAGCAATGCTATTCACAATAGCCAAAGGCAGAAAGAAACCAGATGAACATCAACTGGTGAATGGATAAACTTCATATGGTATATGCTATGGTTTGAAAGTTTGTGCCCGCCCCCCCCCCAATTCATATGTTGAAATCCTAATGCCCAAGGTGATGCTATTAGGAGGTGAGGGGGGCCCATGGTGAGGTGCATAGGTCCGGAGAGAAGAACCCTCATGAATGGAACTAATGCCCTTCTAAAAGAGACCACACGAGTTCCCCAGCCCCTTCTCCCGTGTGAGGACACAGTGATACATCTGCAGCCTGAAGAAGGCCCTCTGACCCTGCTGGCACCCTCATCTTGAAGTTCCAGCCTCCGGAGCTGTGAGAAATAGATTTCTGTTGCTTACAAGCCACCCAGCCTGTGGTATTTTGTTGCAGCAGCCCAAAGAGACTAAGACAGTATGTCCATACAATGGAATGTTATTCAGGAATTAAAAGGCATCAAGTCCTGAATCATGCTATAACATGGATGAACCTTGAAAATGTTACACTTAAGTGAAAGAAGCTAGAAACAAAAGACCGTGTACTGTAAGCGTCTGTTTATAGAGACTATCCAGAGTGGTCAAATCCACGGAGACAGAGGGCCACTCGTGGTGGCCAGGGGCTGGGGGTTGGGGAATGGGATGTGACTAGTTTATCCCCTGGGCCTTCCTTTCAGGGTGATTACAATGTTCTGGAACCAGATGATGGTGATAGTTGCACAACATTGTGAATGTAGTAAATGTCACTGAATTACATACTTAAAAGTCGTTTAAAGGTGAATTTTAGGTCATGTGCATTTTACTACAATTTAAAAAAATCTTTTTTGGGGGGGTGCATGATGGGAAATATGTTCCACCACAGGTTTGTGGGGATGTCATCTTAAAAAAACTATTACACGACAAAAACCAAGGGGGAAAGCAGAATTTTCCCATATCACCTCTTAGTTTGTTAGTCATTAAAACAATGATCATTTGATGGCTTCCCACACCTATTGTCTCATTTAATCATCATTCTGGCGGGAGAGCATTACCTCTATTTCACAGAGGAAAAAACTAAAAACTGGAGTTCCTGACAAGTTGGGTCAGTTGCCTGATCACACAGCAGGTAAGAGACTGAGTCCGGTTAGATCCCAGGCCTTTAACGCTGGTGCTGGAAATCAGCATCCTGACAGCCAGGTAGGCGATGACAGCTTCTGCACCCTCTCTGGGACCCAAGAGAACTGAGGAGCTGGACTAGAAAACTCGGATAGAGCTCAGCCGGTGTGGCTCAGAGGGTGAGTGTCGACCTATGAACCAGGAGGCCATAGTTCAATTCCTGGTCAGGGCACGTGCCCGGGGTTGCAGGCTCCATCCCCAATGTGGGGCGTGCAGGAGGCAGCCGATCAACGATCCTCTCTCATCACTGATGTTTCTATCTCTCTCTCTCCCTTCCTCTCTCTGAAATCAATAAAAACACACAAAAATATTTTTAAAAAAGAAGAAAAAAGCTGTGCATTTACACAATGCAATGATACTCAGCTGTAAAAAAAAAAAAAAGAAAAGAAAAGAAAAGAAAAAAGAGGAAGAAAAAAAAAACTCAGAGAGAGTGTGCATCATCACCCCGATTTGAAGAGGCAGCAGCATCCCATTCCTTTCCATGCACAGCACCAACCTTCGAGACAGCAAGTCTGTGGTGGGGAAGGGGGTCGACCAGGACTGAGACAGGGACACCCTTAGAGTGATAACTGGGCTGCCACCTGCCACCCCTGCAACGTTTTTGGGGGGTGAACCACTGCCTTCATCCACAGCCCCGAGTTAAGGGTGACTAACGAGTTTGGTTTGGGCTTCAGAAGGCCAGGCTTTTATTTGACAAACTAGTTTCAAATAAATTCTACAACTTTGCCAAGCATATTAACAATGAAAAACAATTTCTATCTAATCCATTCAGTTCTTAGTGTTCACATAGTGTATTTTAAAAGAAGGGTGTTATATAATTGTCCAGGAACCAGCTAGATATTGTATCATACTTTTAGTTAATTATTAAATATTCCAATCTCTGCCTTTCACTAACACTTAGTTCTTAAAAAACAAAAAACATTGCCCTGCCCTAACCAGTTTGGCTCAGTGGGTAGAGCGTCGGCCTGCGGACTGAAAGGTCCCAGGTTCGATTCCGGCCAAGGGCATGTACCTTGGTTGCGGGCACATCCCCAGTGGGGAGTGTGCAGGAGGCAGCTGATCGGTGTTTCTCTCTCATCGATGTTTCTAACTCTGTATCCCTCTCCCTTCCTCTCTGTAAAAAGTCAATAAAATATAAAAACAAAAAAACATATGCTAAAGCTGTAAATTAAAACCAAGACAATGAAGGGAAAGAAACTCTCAGAAAATACAATTAAGGTATCTGTAGCTATAGAGCTCAATTCCCATGTTGCATTCACAGAAAGTACCTCCCAAATCTGTGTTCATTAAGCACTATATCCAACAATGGACCAGGCTCTTCATAAAGAAGCTTTTCTTATGGGGCATGACTGTGCCTGAAGTTAGAGGCAATGCAAGCTAGTTAACAACTGCCAAGGTGAAAAATGTTATAAGTGTGTATTAACAATGGTGTTGGCTGTTGCTGTTTGAGAAAGGTAAGAAAAAAAACTGATGGGAACCCCAAATTATGAGACAAGGGGGCAGCCATTACTGTGACAACTGATTTCCCAGTGGTTTAGGGATACCAACAACATTTTCTGTGTTTGTATTTTTTTTAAGGCTGAGATCCTGACAGTAAGTATGGGACGAGGTGGCGTGTGACATGTGAAGAAGGAAAAGAAAGCACTTGGGCAACAAAAATGAGAGTCACAGGAATTCTGAAACAGAAATCAGAAGCAGCCTTACCCTGTGGTAGAGACCACAGATGAAAGGGGACATCTTGATCTTTGAACTCTGCCAAATTTCACTTCTCAACCGCTGCCAAGGCCCGGGCTGTGAGTAGGCCAAGTGTACTCCTTTAAATGGGTACTCAGTGTTGAGGCATCTGAAGAACCACGGCCGGGGACCACCCCCACCCGGGCCCCTTTTTCTCCTTCAGGGAAAGGAAAGGGTGGGAAT